ATGTGTTTGTAGGCTTGTAGATTTATCATCAAAGTGGGTTTTCACATTAAGATCTACAAGGATGTAAAGCCCTGTACGTGAGACACTGAATATGGGGGAAACAATTTGTAATCCATGGGCATTGTTCTAACAGTGAATGAAAAGAACACTGTCATGTGTGTTTAAAGTGAACCGTCTATAAAACAGTCAGTATTTGAAACCAGCGAATTGTTAACTGCCATAAATCTCTGCCCTATCAAGATAACGTGTCGAGCAGGAAGGAACGCTGACGTTATGTAATAGCAGTACAAATTAGTAAAATACATGTACAGGACTGTTATACATACGTGCACAGAAATAGTGACGGAGGTCTGAGACTGTTTGTTAAGGATAGCCTAGGCTCCCACCCACCGTACCCCAACACAGGGTATATACTGCTCGCACTTTGTTAAGGATGACAAAAATTCACAACTTTACTTAAACGTAGATTTATCATTTGAAATTGTATCCATTTAAAACTGGATAAATAATAATACGGTGACCCTCCTTTGGGCAAACAGTCACTTTAATCTAGTAACCTTATGCGCTTGATACATGAGTAACCATAAAAATGGTTCTCATGGCACCAATCAACCATTTTGCAAATCATGGAACGAGTCACTGACAAGTACACAACACCTGTCAATGGCAGGTATGGGATCCACAAGATGAAATGACACACTGAAACCTTGGATCCATGCTTACAATAAGCTAAGATATTTAAACCAAATTTCTGTTGAATCCATGATTTGATCCTTAGCCAAGTGTGAATAGTATATTATTTGCCAAAGAAAGGACTTTACTGGTGTGAGGATAACTGCCGTATAGGGGGCTAATACCACCGGCAGATCCATACGGGGTAGGATATATGGGTAAGGGTGGACTGTACAGATTGGGGTGGGTGCGCACTCGACCTTTTTTCAGACACGTCACGCGGTCGTGACGTTAGTGACATGCATCTCTCTTTTTTTTCAAACAGGCTCGCTGACTTGGGACACATGACATCGGTTCCCAATTGCATAGATCGATGCTCATGCTGTTGACCACTGGATTGTCTGGTCCAGACTCGATTATAGCTGGCGCCACTCATTCACATTTTTTCAAAATATTCGGTCCCCTTTTCAGTATTTTCTTAACAGCAACATGACAGCAAACACGTCCTTATGGCAGATGATATTCAGTTTCTATTCTTTAATCACAGATTAGGTTTATTTGTAACGACAGATCACCAAACAGCCATGTATCCCCTTTGTACAAACTTTGGAGGGCCTTTGTTGTAACCAAGTTGTTACAGCGTTCATTCCTCACACCCACATGCGACAATGTGTGAAGCTCAATTCTCGTGTCCACCCCTAGATCTTGCTTTAAGATCAGTTTATTCAAAATTAGAGAGAAAATATCATGCCAAGCACAAAAGGCATTCATTATCGATGCTACAAATACTCCCCAAATTTTGAAATACATCTTCTCTTTCCTAAAGCGATATCACAGCAATCTTTGAAATTCCGAACATCAACCATAGTCTACCGGTTGAGACTGGTCGCTAGACTGGAGTACCCAGATAAGAGCGACTTTGCCCTCTCTGCAACTCACCAGCAGTTTCAGATGAGTTCCATTATCCTTTTAAATGTGAAGCCTCCATTTCCGAAAGATCCACTTTGATCTCAAATCAATTTTTACAATGGCCGAATCTCTTAAAAATGGCGAACCTTCTCAAATCCAAAAGAACAAACACTTTACGTATTAAAATTGTTTTCAGAGAGCTCCAAATAAAAATCTAATTTGTAACATTTACGCTTTTTCATTTAGTTATAACATATCTTTGTATATCTATCACTAAAGATTTCTATGTCACTTTGTACATCCTTGCTATCTTGGTATTTATTGTATTCACTTGCATTTATTCGTCTTATGTACCACATTGGTGAGTTTTCGAGAAATAAAGATGACGACAAATAAAACGGCGTAAAACTCACTCACTAACTGGAATGTATTCAAACCATGTAATATCGCCTCTTATCGCCCTACCCGTGATTTATTCTAGTCCCGGGCAAGGATTGATCTTCAGTAACCAATGCTTGTCGTAAGAGGTGACTAACGGGATCGGGTGGTCAGACTCGCTGACTTGGTTGACACATGTCATCGGTTCCCAATTGCGCAGATCGATGCTCATGCTGTTGATCACTGGATTGTGTGGTCCAGATTCGATTATTTACAGACCGCCGCCATATAGCTGGAATATTGCGGCGTAAAACTAAACACACTCACTCACTCTTATCGCCCTCGTATTTACATTATGTAGTTAGCAGATTAACAATGCTGCATAACACAGTCATCATTACCAGGATGTCATAATATCAGTCGTCCACATTTGAGATGACCTTAAATGACAAGTAAGGATTGTGTTCAGCAACGTGATAATAATCACGTTGCTTACCCTGTGTTGTCTGACACAGCTATGTATGCAATTCTTCCTGTTACGTAATCTTTCCCAAAGCGTTCCTGTGTGCAACAAGATAAAAATATCAATTGCTTTCAGTCTCCTCATTTGAATAATATAATTTATGTCGCCAGTGTTTGATTTGGCTTAAACTGAAGTCAACGCTAACTGCAGGACTCACAAGTAAGGAAAAGCATGATTTCATTATCATTTGTAGAATTGTTTTATTTCTTCTTTTTGTAGCATTGTATGTTGATTATTCATAAGCCTCTCCGTTCCGCATCTATACATGTAAAACTAGAAATGTATAAAGGAGTTCATGTATCACAGGGTGATAGTTTGGTGGTTCAAGCGTTCGAACGTTATACCGAGGGTACGGGGTTTTATCCCTGGGTACAATTAGTGGGGCTCCATTCTGGTGTCTGATACGGTGGTATTGTTGGAATATTATGCAAAGCGCCAAAAACCATACTCACTCAATCACTCATGTACTACAATAATTGGGGTCATATCAATGATTACTATTAGTTACAGGGTGTTTTGAAAGGGTACGGGTCTCGTCATTTATTACCCTTAAGATCTTTTTATTTAGCTGATCTTTAAACAACTACATTCAATCATTGGCAGAATGAGACGCAAAACGTTTCGCCATGAATTTTCCTGAACTGTCATAAAGGGAGATAACTCGGGATGGCTTAGTTTATGATAAAAATTATCGAATTTGAGGTTTTGTTAAACGACAAATGAAATACAGAAGCATTTTATTTTTTTGATACATTTATTGACACAAACAAATAAGAAATTACGACAACAATTTTATTACTCTGTTTATACTCATAATTGTATAACTCTAAAATTTCGAAGCGATCAGCCGTTTGGCGGCCACATTCCATCTAAGGTCAAGGTCATTCGTACAACCCGTGTAGTGTGTCACATGACAGATTTGACGGGGTGTACGGTTCGTACAATCTGGCAAATCCACCTACATGGTTTGGTATGCTTTGGCTATCGACCAATCAGAATTCGACAAATGTATCTTAAGGGTAATAAAGATTTGTAATCACATTACCCTTTTCCAATGGGTTCCTGTTTTTTTAACATTCACGATTTACCCAACCAGGACCAACGTTTCATGTGGAAAGAAATCCCCCGAGCATGCAGTTGTATGTTGAGATCTATAAATTATTACTACAAATGTACTAAAAACAAATAGAATACAAACAGAGTTTCCAAATGCGTATAACCTCCACAATACCCGTGAAGATCCGCGTTAGAATGCCGTTGATCACTGGATTGTGTGATCCAGACTCGATTATTCACAGACCGTGGTCATATAAATGGAATATTGCTGAACGCGGCGTTTAACAACAAACAAACTCAAACAAACAAACTCTAAGCAGCCTCCAGTCACTGGCTAAAGATGAGTCAGTCTTAAACTTTCACCACATCCTAAATGTATCGGGTGAGCTATACATTCTGTGCGTCACAGTTAAAGTTTTCTAATATGAAATATTGTAGATATCAAAAATGAAATAATATGAGGACAACCAGAGATCAAATTCTTACAAATAAAGTCAAAAAGAAAAATAAAGACACCATCCAATCCACCCGTGATAAGGATACGGCAATAGGTAAGGGTACCACTGTCAGGAGGTAAGTAAAGGAGTGTAACGTCACCAACGCCATTAAGGAAGTGTGAGTGAGTTTGGTTTTACGCCGCTTTTTGCAATATTCCAGCTACATCACGGCGGGGGACACCAGAAATGGGCTTCACACATTGTACCCATGTGGGAATTGAACCCGTGCCTTTGGCGTGACGAGCGAACGCTTTAACCACTAGGTTACCCCGCCGCCCCCGCGAATTTGAAATTCCTAAAATGTCACTTCGACACAACATATTACGATTAGGCAACAAAACCTGTAAATATTTACACAAACTGGGCACAAATTCATTTCACATAACTCCCTTTATCCCGAAACAGGCATTTACCTGAAAACGAAAGTATATATGTTTGTTAATTCGGTTCACGTGTACCCGGAAAATCCTTTATCTCATAGCGTTCTGTCACCGCTGGATGGTGAATTTCACATGGATAAGCAAAGCATGATCAATGTTCCATATCAAGTATATGTGTGGAATAACCCACATTGGGCGAGTAATGGGATCGGGTTTTCCCGCTCGGTTCATACATGTCCTCGTACCACAATATCGTAAATCGTTCATTGTGTCAATCACTGGATTGTCTGGTTCAGATTAGAATTACAGAACGCCCTCGTGTCGCTAGACTAATACGAAGCGCGGCGTTAAACAACAAACAGACAGACAGATACTGTCCTTCATTTGTGACCATGCTGAGGCAAGCCGAATGATGCTCTCTTGTACAACCACGATCGGTCATTTCCTTTTAAAATTATAAAAAAAGGCTGATAACGGAAAGGGACGAGTCTCTCCGTTTGCCTCATGCTGTTCCGGAAACTTGAGCAGGTTTTCCTGCCTACGACACGCCGTGCGTAACGTGACGTCATACGTTCAGTACAACCATTCGTCTATCTATAGATCATAACCGTAAACACATACATTCGCATCTAATGATCAAACCTATACTAACCTGTGTTACATACAGAGCAGGTACAGGCAGTTTCACAGTTTAAACCAGGTAAGTGTTAAGATGATTTGATCGATCACGGTCCGTTGACAGTCTACTCGAGCTTGCGCCCCTTTGTCTTGTCATCCATGATGTACGTCCGCCCAGCTGTTGATGGTCACATCTGATCCGAGACAGCGTTTCAGTTTCATACAAGCAAAATCTTGTCATGCCACAAGACCCCAGTGTCCTGATGTTACCGCCGCGTGACATTTAATCCTGTTTGATTTCAGTTAGAAAACGAAACATTTGCAAACTTCCTGAATCGTCAATACGTTTAACTTCCTTGATCAGTGTGTGACAGGAGGGACAATACTGTGTTTAGCGACAAAACTTCAGATATTCAGGATTTGTCTGAAAAAGTAAATTTAACAAAATTGTAAATAATCAGGAAGGTGTTGCTGTTTGCCTTTGGGCAAATGTTGATAATTCGTTTGATATATATTTCGAGTTTATATTAAGCCTGCTTCTGTGTTGAGGGCAACAGGAATGTTTCACAAACCGAAACGAGGAAAAGATAGCTGTATTCTAAACCTTGTGGTCAATCAGCGCTTTGTAAGAAATTATTAAGTCGATTTGCTTGTTCTATCATTTTTATTGAAGCTATTATACTAATTCTAAATTTAATTCTTAAACTAAAATTTCCTTCTCAAGTGAATAATCATTATTGAAAATAGGAAAACAGTCTCACAAGAGCGGAAGGTCGCGGGTTCGATCCCCGACTGCGTCATACCAAAAACGTTAAAATATGGTACTTGTTGGTCCCTGCCTGGCGCTCGGCATTACTGGGTACAGCAAGGACTGGTCGGCACGGAGTCAGTATAATGTGTCTGAGTGGGGTATTCATGTTTCACTGCGGCATGGTGTCTCAGTGGGCTAGCATTATAAAACCAGCTTAAGTGTGGGCTAGTACAAGCAGCCGCACATACACATACACACGCATGCACGTCGTCATATGAGCGAAATATTCTCAAGCACGACGTTAAACCCAATTTCAACTCACCTCACCTCCTTGGACTGTTCCCTTGGATTGGTACCTTCTGATCCCTGGACGCAGATTAGGAGTGTGTCAGGGTTCTCCACTGGGACCACGGCCCTTGTGACACCCGGGGTAATGCAGAAGGCTGCAGTGTTGCGGGGTCAACACATTCTCACAGGTCTCGGTGGTTTCGACTAGGCAGTGCTGCATGGGAGAAGTCCCATTGGCTGTCTGGGCTGCGTGTAGAGGGGGCAAGGGCCCTGAGCTGATGATGACTGACTGACTGACTGAGTTTGGCTTTACGCTGCTTTTAGCAATATTCCAGCAACACCACGGCGGGGGACACCAGAAATAGGCTTCACACATTGTACCCATGTGGTTATTCGAACCGGGGACTTCGGCGTGACGAGCGAACGCTTTAACCACTCGATCGGCTACCCCACCGTCCCGGTAGACTATATAGGTATATACTAGTATATACTTATATATACCCCATCGCCCCGAGCTGATGATGAGCTAAACGAGCCTGACTGTGCTGGTATGATCCGAACCCTCTTGCTGCGTTCATCTATTTAAATATGTTCTTTGTTGTTTAACGCCGCACTCAGCAATATTCCATAATAATAATGCCACAGTTTACAGAGATGTTGGACATTATCTCTCTGTCAGTGTTGATTTTGTTGATGGTTCTGTAACTTTGGACGGAATGTTTCAACCAAGCATAGAGCAATATTGAATCGTCACGGCAAGGGAAGTCTCTCTGGCTGACCTCTGAATCAAGTACAACCCTTCCGAGTCCTTCGCTTCGATGGAATCGGCTTGCTGGAAAAATGAATTTTATACGTATTTTATTCCGCAGGAGGGTTGGGTTTCCTGGGATCTGATTACCGGATCCTGGTTCGACTAAGGGCCGTAACATCACAATTTCGACGCCTTTAACCGACACAGCCAGCCGATGGTAACATTGACACAATTATACGTTATTGATTTTTTTAATTCTATTTTAAAATAATTGACTTATTTTCGGTTTCAGATATACTATCCCTGCTGGCCTACTGTACAACCATGGCGGACAGATATAGGGAGGGTGAGGAGGAAGCGTATCGGAGGATGTTGAGTGAGGAACTGGCAGCTCAGTGGGACGACTCCTCGAGCTTATCGGACGGGGGCTGGTCGTTGGGACAGAGCTTAGTGGAGTCAGGATTCGGCAGCATCGCAAACAGCCCGTGTAAGCACAACGTTTGAATGGTGGACTGGGACGTTTCAAGACGCTTTAAAAAATGTTAGGTATATCGCGGCGCGTCAACTCCCGATTGTAATAGAGGCTTAAGGTAGCTAAACCTCAGATGTTCACCACTTTAACATGCACGAACATTGGCTTGATGTTAAGTTGTTAACAAACCTCAGGGTTTCACAACTCTACAAGCACATTGCGGAATTCTAGACAGCAGGAGGTGTCCATGTTTCCTAGGACGGATGGAAAGTCCACAAATGTTATACAATAAACCTTATGCAGAATCCAATAATTCTGAATAACATAAACAATATAATTAATTTTATCAGAAAGGTAGTTACCTCACGTGAAAAGTATGAGTCGGCTTCAACATACGTTTGCTATAAGTTCCCTAGTCAATTCTATTTTCTTATCTACTGCAGGCAGAAACAGGCTACACCTATTTTGGCTGGTGCTTTAAAGGAAGCATATAAGAAGTTCTATTCAGTGGTGATTGAACCAGGTATTGAAATAATATTTTGGACGTTAGAATAAAATCAGCGAAATAAAATGTTCAAATGTACACTTTTTTGTCCGGTAGTATAGTGTGTTGTATTCTCCAGGCAGGAAATGTACTCTGGCAGATGGGATGTTCCTGTGTCCTGAGAGCAGAAACTTCTGGGAGAAAATTCCGAGTACCGTGTGCTGTAGAAGGGTGAGAACCTTGTATAGCTGCATCCCGGCTGATGTCATCCAGATAGTCCGTAGTGGGGACATAACGATGTCAAGATAGAGGCGTGTGGGTTAGAATTGGTCTTCAACAACCCATGCATGTCGTTAAAGCGACTAACGGGATCTGATGGTCAGACTCACTGACATCATCTCCCATTTGCGTAGATCGATGATCACGATGTTAATAACTGCATTGTCTGGTCCTGACTCTATCCTTTACAGCTGGGATATTGATAAGAACGACGCACATTCCAATGTTTTTATATCCTTTTCAGATTTGGAAAGATTTCATAGATACGTTTCGAGAAGACTTCCCCGACGAACGGGCACTTTGTAAGAAGCGGGTGTTGAACATCTTTAAAAGTCTGCTCGGCGCGGAGTATCAAGGTATAATCAGACTACAGCAGCTTAATCCAGTTTATATGCACGGGATCCCTGAGCAGAGATGATTCCTTTTTCTGCCAAATCTGTGTGTCTACTAAATTATTCCTACCAGAGGCTTGATTGAATCTTGACTCGTTTACATGTTAACCACATATACACATATATTGTAACATATTCATACTTCTTGTGAGTTGAGTGAGGCTGGGTTCAACTACGCGTTCAGTATTGTTTTAGCTGTCTGCAGTGCGTGTGTCTGTGTGTGTGTGTTTCTGTGTCTGTGTTTCGGCATGTGTATTTGTCTGCCTGTTTCTCTGTGTGTTTCTGTGTCTGCTTGCACTAGTCCTGAGAACAGTTTGTTGTCAAAGAAGAGTCATGTCAGAACTTTCTTCCTCTTCTATTCTTAGACAGCAAGACCTTTGCTCCGACTTCTTTCAGCTACATGGACTGAGTAGCACTCAAGCACTAACTTTTCGTTTCAGACCTTGGCGAGATATCTATTGAAGATTTTCTCAGAGTGATAAAATTCTTCGGTCCGTTCAGAACAGAAGGAGACAGATGTGTCGTGGTCAAACAGGTAACATCCTCGAAAATCAAGGATATCACAGCTCACACCAATTGTATACACTTTGCTCATTAGCCACCGGACCGCCTCCGTGGTGTAGTGGTTAGAGCGTCCACTCGGAGAGCGGAAGGTCGCGGGTTCGATCCCCGACTGCGTCATACCCAAATACGTTAAAATATGGTACTTGTTGGTCCCTGTCTGGCGCTCGGCATTAATGGGTACAACAAGGACTGGTCGGCTCGGAGTCAGTATAATGTATCTGAGTGGGGTATTCATGCTTAACTGCGGCATGGTATCTCAGTGGGCTAGCACTATAAAACCAGCTTAAGTGTGGGCTAGTACAAGCAGCCGCACATGCAGGTCGTCATATGAGCGAAATATTCTCAAGCACGACGTTAAACCCAATTTCAACAAACCGAAAAATGAGTCTCATTAGCCACCGTGGCTATTTGAGGAAGTGACGTCACTATCTCCTTATATAATATGACTTTGATTGTCGTATTCTGATTGGCTGAAACCATATATTATTATTTTTAATGCATCCGCAAACATGTATTACACATGTTTTATGTCCTTGAATTGCACATACACACAGCAATTTGGTATCACGAAGTACTGAATTTATATCCAGCTTTTTTATAAAAAGGGGGATAATTCTATGTCGTTGTTTTTCTGTGTTTACTGCTTTGGTTCATGTGAACATTGAACACAGTTGTTAATTACGTGGATATATAAATTCTCACCAAAGCATGCGTTTTGGCTCGGGACATACAAACTAACTGCCAACCCATACCCCTTTCAATAGCAGAGGATACCTAAAGAGGTCGTCTCACAATACATTTTCACATGTTACAGCCCGTGAATGTAATGAAAATGGACGCCATTTTTGGGGTCGCACATTTCGGTGACGTACGGGTTTTTCGTGTTCGTATATTATGAAAATCAGGTTTTTGATCTTTCACAATCAAAAGGCTTTTCAAACTATTTACGTTGGTTTTTGAAGATAATCCTTCAAACAGGTGTGTGTTTTCTTTTCTTTCACTTTTTATATTCAAACAGCATACGTATGGAAGTATGTTTTTTTTTCTTTCAGATAGAACAACTTGTTGAGAATTCGTACCAGAAATCTACAGACAAGAAGTCCAAGATATGGTATGACAATATAGACTCCGTGAACTAGACACTAGTACTTAGGCTGTTACAGTCCCAGTATAATCCGGCGACGTGTTTTAATAGTCATCATTTAATAGTCATACTGGCGTTATACTGGCAGCATGATTTCACACAGGCGATATGGTTATATACCGACAGAATATTTTTTTTATCAATTTGTTACCTTTAAGCTTTTTAGACGTTTGTTTCGTGAGTTTGTTTCCAGAACCTTTTTCATCTGTTTCTCTTTGGCTTCTAGCGTGGTACAGAACGCAAAGCATTTCGTCATGAATGTTTTCGCCGAATGTTGTCGCCGATATTCGAAGGGACATAACTTTTAACAACTATAAGGGACTTGTTATTTCAAATTATAACGCCGTTGTTTTGGATAAATCTTCATTTCGAATCAATTTTCACTTGATGCATGAAACACAGCATATTCACATGGAGGTTTGAAGAAAATAACTTTTTGTCATAAAAATAGTTGCATTCTCCAAGCGTGTTGGATTTCAATGTCAAAGGTCGCAAACTGTTAAAATTATCTGTTCTTACCGTTGTTACAGGTTCATATGCATTGGCTATTAACCAATCAAAATTCTTCTAAACTATTTAAAGGTTAAACACCCTCAATGTGGCTCACTACCTATTGACGATAAGTATTGGTACAGGCAATATGGTTGATAACTGTAATATGACGTAATGTGATGGTGGTATATTTTGAGTATATTTACTAAGAATACTGTGTAAAACGACCGCTAATTTTCATTTCGTTATTACCGTAGTTCGTTCTACCAATTTCGACTGAACTAACAAGCAAAACCTGAAAATCAGTTATAATCGCAAAAAACGGACTAGAAAGAATTCAGTATATTGAATTGTGACTAATAAACCAGTGGTCGATAGCCTGAGCAAACACAACAATCGGGTCACGATGAAAGACACTCATAAAAGTTACGCACTCTAACCTCTTGAGCCATTTTTGAAGGCGTATGTGAACATCTTCAACCCAAGAATTCCCAGTGGCATATTTCAGTTTCTCAGCTTCTTGTTTTACCCTTTCTGTGAGATAAGACTTGTCTTAAACAATATGGACAATACAGAATATCTCTATATTTTCAGCTGGTTTGGGGGATACATGACTCGCTCGGAGGCGGAGAACAAGCTGCAGGACCAGAAACCAGGGACGTTCCTCATCAGGTAGAAGCTTCATTCATCTCAGGTGCAGGTTTATAACAGGGGCCGCAGGTGGCCCAGTCAGCAAATGAGGCAGTACAAAGTTGCGTTTCTTGGGCCCACAAGGCACCTATGATCAAGGGTTCGAATCTCATTTTGTCAAGATTATGTTTCTAGGTGTGACAGCACCATATTCGTGCTAATCGGTTTCAGCATTGTGGTACACGTCTGATACCAGCATCACTGCGGGATTGTCTTGGGCATTATGTCGAGATATGACTGGAATACTGCTCACGGTGGCGTAAAACACAACTCGCTCACTCTATTTTCTTTGAGAGGCATTTTAGAAGTTGTGAAGATGAAGGAAAACTAAGTTCTATGGATAGTCAACTTCTTTATTGCACTGAGTGCGGCGTTTCGGTGTAGGTACTAACACCGTTAAGCTTGATAACGGTGTTAGTACCTACACCGAAACGTCGCACTCATTGCAATAAAGAAGTTGACTATCCATAGAACCTAGTTTTCCTTCACTCACTCTATGAACAAAAAGGAAGGGATATCCGATAATCAGTACATACAAATATCGTTAGTTTCTTTGTTCAACGTTGCACTTAACAAAATGTTTCTCTGTTGTTCAACGTTGTTCAACGTTCTCTGTTGTTGAACAATGTGTTTGTTTGTTCGTCAACATTGCACTGAACAATATGTTCCTTTGTGGTTCAACATTACACTGAACAATATGTTCATTTGTGGTTCAACATTACACTGAACAATATGTTTATCTGTTGTTCAACACTGAACTGAACAATATGTTCCTTGTTAAACGTTGCATTAAACAACATGTTTCTCCGTTGTTCAACGTTGCATTAAACAACATGTTTCTCCGTTGTTCAACGTTGCATTAAACAACATGTTTCTCCGTTGTTCAACGTTGCATTAAACAACATGTTTCTCCGTTGTTCAACGTTGCATTAAACAACATGTTTCTCCGTTGTTCAACGTTGCATTAAACCGTTGTTCAATTCGTTCAACGTTGCATTAAACAATTGTGTTTCTCTGTTGTTCAACGTTGCATTGAACGATATCTTTCTCGTTGTTCAACGTTGCATTAAACAATGTGTTCATTTCTTGATCAACATTCCATTGAACAATTTGTTCCTTTATTCTTTAACGTTGCATCAAACAATATGTTCCTTCATTGTTCAACGTTGCATTGAACAATATGTTTCTCTGTTGTTCAACACTGCACTGAACAATGTGTTTCTCTGTTGTTCAACGTTGCATTGAACAATGTGTTTCTCTGTTCTTCAACGTTGCATTGAACAATATGTTTCTTCGTTGTTCATCGTTGCATTGAACAATATGTTCCTTTATTGTTCAACGTTGCATTGAACAATGATGTTTTGTCGTTGTTCATCGTTGCATTGAACAATATGTTCCTTTATTCTTTAACGTTGCATCAAACAATATGTTTCTCCGTTGTTCAACGTTGCACTGAACAATATGTTTCTCTGTTGTTCAACGTTGTATTGAACAATATTTCAACTATATGAAGGCAGCCTTTAAAATAATCGAGTCTGCATCGGACAATCCGGTGGTTGTTATTGTGAGAGAAAAATCCCACTCTGAGGGGTTCCATGACACGCTGTCAAGCAAGTCACCGAGTCTGACCACCGTTTCACGGCCATACGACCAGTATAATTGCTGGGGACCAATTCTTATCCAGAATACCCAATGGGCATCAGTATATATAGGCGGTCTGGTAGCTTTGTGGTCAAAGGGTTGGCTCGCCTCTCCGAACTCCCAGGTTCAAGTCCCTAAGGTTACCATACGTAAAACCCATTTTTGTTGTTTACCCAACTGTAAAAGTGTTGGGCAATTGCCGACAACAGCGTACACTACAGCTCATCTGTGTATTGGTCCAGATTTGTACCGGTTGGTGTGACTGCAGTTCCAAGCCTTAGAAATTCATTTATCGTAAATTGTCTTTGGTTTCAAGGCTGACTTTTTCGTATCCGTGGGGCAATTGTACGTCAGAATTCACGTTCAAACCTTTGGGCCTCCCTCGGTAAGAAAATCACCAGCGGGCTCTTGAAACTATTTAATGGTCGTGCACATGTTTGTAGTCTCGGGCTAGCGGGATAGGGAACTTATTACAACAGTTGAAGTATATATATTCTTGGTGGAGCAGTGTTAGAACACTGTCACTGTCAACAAGGTCACCTTTTGTATGTCACTGTGGACAGTGTTACAGGATACTGATAACAAGTGACTTCTTCGTCACACTTGCACTAAGTGTCGGTATTTGAACAAGAAAATATCATATCAGCAAAAGGTTGCATGACCGAGATGGTTACATTAACATGATTAAACAATATTAGAATAATGATATACCGAAATCATTATTGTAATCAGATGTCTTACACTATGGCTAATGGATGTGGTCACCTGTCCGTCAGTTATGTAATTGCAATGAAAAGATTACATCTCCCTAATGCTGCTCAAACGTTGTTACAAATTTGTATTTAGTCATTTTCTTATACTCATATCATTATGTAATTTAGATAAAAACATATAGAATGCTCAGTATCTATTTTATGGTATATGTTTTACAATGATTATCCTTGATTATAATTTTGACAGTTTGAGATCAATAAAGGCATACATCAGTGTCTAAAAAGTTTTGAAAATGTGACCTGTCCAAGGACTGGCTGTTCAGAAGGGTGACCAGTCCTGTAACACAGCCTGTCCCAAATCTTTTCATTTAAACCAAGTTAAGTCAATTTTTCAAACATTTCCCCCGACCACAGGACAGCCTTACTTATTTAAGAGACCATCCTATATATTTTATACACTGCATACATTAAGGATAAATAGAACATAGCGTTTGGAGAATATTTTATTAGCAAATTTGCTCTTAGAGGGTTTTGTCTGACAATTGACACTGAGGCCGCTGTAAGATCCCTCCGTCAGCCTAGTGATCAGGGGACGTTTGTACAAAGCGATCTAAGCATTAAGATAATCGTAGCTTCCACACTCTTGCATAGACTTAAGGTAGTCGTAGTGCTAAGAAGGTGGGACCAGATAAACGTGCGTATTTCATTGATGTCAATAACCGTTACATTCTTTCCTCACAGAATGAGTGTTACAGAAGAGGAAGCTGGGTGCTTTGCCCTTAGCCTGGTGATGCTTGACAATTCTATCGAACACTTCGAAATTAAGGTAGGATTGCCATGAAGTGAATACAGTATCCTTTAGGACTTTACGGAATGTTGGTAGAAAGGGTTACTGCTAGCTAATGTTTGATTTTCTGCTCATGGAACTGAACAATTTGATTGTCAACGACTTTTCTTAAAAAGCCTGAGAACATATTATGTTCTTCATTATTTTAGATTAGATTGTTTAATAAAAGTCAGTACCCTTTCGAAACAGCAGGGCAGATTCATCCCCCAGTTGGTGTTGCTTGTATTTTAAGTCATCACTACTCCGTTCCCTTACCGTAATAACATTTAGGTTAGAAAACATTGTTTGATGTCGAACAGCTTTGTACGCTGGAATCCAGTGACACAATACATCACTCACTGAATCTGACAATCTGTATATCACTTGCTTGATAACGGTGTTAGTAGCTACACCGAAACGGAGAACTCTCCCCGTTGTTCATCACACCAAATGCCGCTCAAAGAAGCTGTCCAAATTAGTGAACAAAGTGATGAGAATCTATAACCCGGATGACGACATGGCCAATCATTCGATGTCCTTGGTTCAAAATAGAATGGCATAATTTGGATATCACAAATTGATTTATAAAAGTTCTTTCTTCTTTCATATTCAGTTGGTGTTTATGATGAATGTCCTGTGCCTGTGTCTGACATCTCTTTATCCAACAGGGTCACCCAGAAGAGGCTGTGACCATGCATCCCTTCAGTCTGGAACTGGAGTTCAAAGGTCGTCACTTCAGCAGTCTGCCAGACTTGGTCAACAACTGTCTCTGCCAAGAGGTCATTGTGTCCGAATCAGATAATCCAGAAAATGGCATCCGCTGTTCCATTATCTGCCCAGGGTTGCCCTACAACCATATTCTCAACGGCTACAAGTGTCCGGCAAGATAAACCTGAATTAACTGTTACACTTATCACTAGACGGTCTTGAAATTGATTGCAGTTGTCCTCAAAATATTGCAAGGCTCGTGATGACTGTTGACTCATCCATCATACTCAAATGACGCTCAATAACGGTTGTGAGGCATAGTTGAAACTGTATTTGGTCTTCAATTAATTTTTCCACAGATTTAAATCAATCGTGAGCAATATAATTAGAGATATCAGTTTTGACAAATGTATGGTACATGTATGGTTTTCGCAGCTTTTCAAGCTATTCCAGCAATGTCAGCAGAAATGGGCTGCACTCATTATAGCCATGTGGTTTGACAGTTGAATTAGATACACCACGTTGCATATGTCGACGGTACAGTGTGTTCTTCATTGCATGTTTAAACGTTTTTTGTCAGATAATTCAACGCTTTCTATGGCTGAGAAACCATTTAGTGGCCGTTATACAACCATATAATGCTCTCACTTACAGTTGACAAATCCTGGGATTATTGGCATCATTGTCATCACCTTATTTCAAAATTATCTACAGGCAGTAGAAAAATAGTTTTATGAATAGTGTGGGAAGCACAATATGCCTATCACACTCATACCAGTTGTCATGACAGATTACACACAGTAAAATGAATGAATCGGGTTTTTTTACCTATAGTCATACATATTGCGATGATAATTTTACGCCATTTTATGTAAAATTCTCTAAACTGCATAGCTGTCAATAGTTTCTGTTTTAATCCGAACGATTTAGCAGTTCGTTTTTATAGCGGTAATGTCATCCACCTCCTAGCAGTGATAATGTATGATTAATTTTTGATATTTGCAATTCGTCACGGAAAAACGTCATTAAAACATGAATCAATGTGTGTGTGTGCGTGTGCTTGCGAGCGTGCGTGCGTGCGTGTGCGTGCGTGCGTGCGTGCGTGCGTGCGTGCGTGCGTGCGTGCGTTGTTCCGTAGATTCCGCAGCGTAGAATTTTCCAACTCAAGGCTTCTTTCGCTTTTGTTTTCCTAAACCGAAAAAAATTAAGCCTCGCCAAGACCACACTTCCCGCCTTTTGATGATTCTCTGCTTTAGGCAGTCACACGATGTACCACTTAAAACAAGAGAAATATGGGATTCATTTTGGTTCTACTGGTGCATACCCGTGAAGGTACGGTTTAGAATTGGTCTTCAGCAACCCATGCTTGTCGTAAGAGGCGATCAGCGGGATTGGGTGGCCAGTATGTTGACTTGGTTGATATGTCATCGTATATTAATTGCGTAGATCGATGTTGATGCTGTCTGGATTGTCTGGTCCAGACTCGATTATATACGGACTGCCGCCATATAGCTGGAATATTGCCGAGTGCAGCCTTGATCGATTTCCATCTAGCCCTATCAATAAACATAGCAGGAACTATTAAACCGAAAAACACCCATAGGTATTCATGTCGGGGACAAATCATGGGAAGATCCAACTCTTCTGATTGATTCACCAAGCTTACATACTTCAATTCTTTATTTCATGTGAATGTAGGGCCATAACTTAAATACTTGTGGTACAGATAAAAATGAATATGACCACACTGGAAGATTGTAGAAGTTATAATTTCAATAAACCTTTTACAACTATACACCTGTGTCGCCTGTCTCTATATTATGCATATCATCCTGCATAATTGTATGTTTGGGTGTGAAAGTTCAGGTTGCGTTTAATGTTATTTGTCTCAAACCTTACTAAATGCTTAAATGTAATTCAGTTTTCTGAAGAGTCGAAAACGAGCAGCTCTTGAACACCACACGTGGACATAACGACACTAAATGATCAAACGAATACATGGTGTAAGCACTCTCTCAACAGGAACATGTACGTGGTGATAGTTTACAACAGGCACTGGCGGGTGCAACTGACAATCTAAACCCTTGTATCACCTCTTGATGATAGCAGGTCGTTAACAGGCATTAAATGTATATATACGCAAAGCATGGCCTGAAAGCCACGATAAAACACATATGTTGACTAGGTAACCAATTCCTTTTCGGGTAGTGGAAGTTGAACACACCAACACCAGTTTCGCACCAAATGTCACTTGCTTGAACATATCTCTGCACACATTCGGCCAAAGTCATAGCGTTAAAAAAGACTGCACTAAATATTGAAAAAGTATGGTCAGTTTTATTTACTGAATGGATACACTTTTAAAAAACACAAACATTATCCAATCCGTTTATTCAAACGACTTTCTAAACCTACACGCACAAAACATCATAAGATGTAGCGTCACATCGGCAATATTTCAGCCATATCGAGACGAGAACAATTTCATTTATGTCAGTTTTAAAATAAAAAATCTAGAACGTAAAAACCTGTCATCGAAGGACAGTAAAAATACTAGAGTATCATAGCTTTTAATTTAAAATTAGCATGTAAAACTAAAACATTTTAATCTAAGAAGACAATACAATATAAAACTGGGGCTTTAGATCGCCAACAACTGAAGGTAGATCACCATACTAGGGACCATTGGGACTTACAGTGCCTTTGCTACCTGCACGGACCCTAGTTGGATTTCATAAGATGTAACTACCGTGATATTTACCCGATGATATCCTGGAATACACCAGTTCCATTCTGTTGTTTACACGCTGAGACTGGGGTTAACGGATCAGAAACTTTTCGAGTTGCCAAGTTAGAATCCTTCTTATTACTTTTACGTTGGTCAGCTTTGTCGTAGCCATCCCTCCAAGTGCTTACCCATTCATGTTAGGTAATTTCAGTGTAACAGTCTTGCCCAAACTGCACCTACTCACTATATTGTCTCTGCATCGAGGACGCTACCTTATTCAACTTAGGAAATTGATAGAAAATATGGAAGTCTAAAATCCACTTAGCAAATCCCCGAATCCACGTATTATCTCTTTCACATCATTTTGTTGTTCTTCTGTCAATTCCTCGGAAACGTTAACATGATATGTCTCCTCAGACATAGGAACAGTATAAGCTTGGTGGAATATTCTTACCTCTTTGACTTGACATCTTCTTAACTGATACCAGCATATGCATTAGCTGAGAAATGCTTACGGCACATTATTCTGTACCCTTGACCTCTCGGTCAATGTACTTTTTCAGTAGGAAGGCATGATAGGTTGTAATGACTTATTACCTACCAGAGGACTGTGCATGCCAATAACAATAACTTCATAATTTAACGCGGTCCTTTCCAATGAAACAGAAGTTTTTTCACACAGCTTTCAGCATGAACGCATTAACGTCTTGAACAATTGGCAGCTTTTCGACTCTTTAATATTTCATGTCTTAACAAAATCCGCAATAAAAGGCAGCTGAGCTTAACAAAATCCCCAAATGGAAAAAATGGCTTTAAGTTTTCAAAATCCAAATTAAACAAATCGTATTCACTTTTGTCGTAAATAAAAACCACACAAGGATCTAGACCTATCTTTAGATGGTTCTCCTATCAAGGTAGTAGAAGAGGCAAAATTCCTGGGACTCATATTCGACCGTCACTTGACATTCTTACCACACATAAAATATTTGAAAACAAAATGCTTGAAGGCTTTGGACTTAGTAAAAGTCGTTTCAAGTACAGTCGGGATGGGATCAGACTACCCTCCTTCACTTGTACAGATCGTTGGTTCGCTCTAAACTAGATTACGGTTCCATTGATTATGGTGGAGCCTGCAAAAGCAAAAATTTAGAAAAATTTGGTTCTATCCACCACCAAGGCCCGAGGCTCTGCCTTGGAGCTTTTAGGGCCTCTTCGGTAGACAGTCTATATGCGGAGACTAACGAACCTTCCCTTGAACAACGCCGCATTAAACTTTCACTGCAGCATATCACTAAATTACGTTCAAATGAGTCCAATCCAGCATACAATTGTGGTGTAGGACCGTAGGCATAGGTGTGTGGTTCCTGTGTCTCGATGTGCAGCCAACTGCTTTTATGACAAAAGGGGTGATTCCAACTTCCCAATCGTCAACTTTCCTTTCATGTCGAGCAATATTCCAACAGCTCCTTCCCTTTGAGCTACAATTTTGAGCATGCTCCTTTTACTAAGATTACAAAGGGCGCCATGCCATTCTTGCTCAGAAGAACAAGGCCTCAGTAAAGCTTTCAAACATTTCATGGTAGACAGGTGGAGGACATTTCAATATTTGATGAATCAGTGATAAAAATGATGTCCGTTGAAATTCCCTATTTTGACTTGTACCATACGTTCGAGAATTATTTCAGGTGAACAACTGACTAAACTTTGCATATGTTTATGACGGGTGCCGCCGGTGGGGCAGGATACGCTTACCTTTTCGCAAACACCTGATATCATCACTATTTCATGTTGATTTATAAACACAATATGCTCTTTCATCGCATGACATGGTGACAATCACTGGATTGTCTGATCCAGATTCGATTTGTGTACAGATGCAATACTGCTGAAATCTGCAGAAGAGATTTCGGATGTATGTGGAAATGGTTTTGTCGTTTTAATTTACACTCATGGTGCCAGGCCATTAGCTGGCTTTATGTACCTCTCTTTGACACATACACGGTTTAAAAAATGTATGCATTGTACAAAAGGTACTAACGCGTTCTTATTTCTTTATACCGTATTATTTATGTACAACCAAAGTGTATAACATTCAGCTTGCGTCGATTGTCTTTCCAACGGAATCTTCTTTTAGCAAATCCAAAACGAATTTGCACAAGATTCACCAAGCCATTGGTTAATGTGCTGATATTGTAACTTTTCTGCTTATCTACAAAATTCATAAAATATATGTCCCACCTCTTCAACCCTCACTTTGATGTCGAAAATTATCCAACTACATCACAGGCATAAATAAACTTCGCAATTAAGAAGTCTGTGGAAATTTCCTTTGGGATATCATCAGTTGCAGGAAGGGCACAATTACTGAAAACTACATGCATCGTAAATGTCGCCATTTTGACACATTACTACTCACCATTCACGGCCTTGTTTAGTTTATATTTTGAAATCTAAATATCGACTATTCGAATTTATAAAAACAAAACCAACAAATTTGTGGCCACGGGCATTTTGCCAGACAAATCCCATGAGCTTGTTATAATTGATAATGCTGTCAATTTGTAATGCTGTAATATGTAGATATGTTCGTGAATGAATCAATTGACATTATAATTTCATACTTTAAAAGGGTTGTTCAATGCCCAAAGGGACTCTCGAAATCGAAATGTGTATAGGTTGCATGATTTATTTGTCTGTGCCAAATCATAAACATATTATAATTACTCAGTCAGGAGGTTTACTTAGTGTCCCTAAGAATCTCCATGTAATTTGCCTTCCACGCTAATTTATGTTTCTGTCAATGGATAATCGACACTGATTTTTCACTGGTGATTTATTGCTGAGATATTATAACAATAATACACGTTATTATACTGTCACAGATCATGACGAAATGGAACATATATTTGGTACCAGACATTCCTTCAGTTAATCCCCGCAGGCCGGAAAACCGGACAGGACGTCATGAGCAGGCCTATTTCCCGACCAGGCAGTAGTTACATCTAAATGATATGTAATTTCAGGTACCCACCTGACATATCATTCATTTATTAAATCCATCACTTTTCACTTGTCTGAGATGATGTGTTTAAGTTCAATTCACAATGATTTAAAAAAATAGAATTAGAAACTATTTTCCGCAAAGTTTTTTTTATAAAAAAATACGTGATCGGACACTTCGGCAACAAGTTGTCATGAATAAGTGTAATGTAAGTCAAGTGACATCTCAGCTTCTGTCGCCTCGATCTTCACGCTCAGGAAATATCAATAGTTGGCGAGAGATCGTAACCTAGCTCGAAGTTCCATATTTGATGTAGAGGTGACGATTTCGTGCTACGCAACAAAGCGATTTTACCCAAACTTGAACCTAAAGGCTAAACAAGGACGGTATTTAGTACTGTAACATGACTGGCTTCCTTCAGTTCGACCAATCACGATCATCATAGCAGAATACAGGGGGAAAAGCGTAATGAGAAACCAGTTTTTATCCAATGAAATCGCTTGTTGCAAGCACGAAAATACAAGTAACTGTAATATTATTGATGTTCAGAGGTTTCGAACGATCAAAATAATCTTCCAGTGTGTCATTTATTCAAAGCTTCAAAATCAAAGCTTTGAAGGGCATTTAGAAGTGATACACATAGGGACAGGAGTTTTTTTATTGATGACAACTTCTTTATTGTTAAGGTCACGACGTTTATCAGGTGAATGAAACAATTAGGAACAAACAGCTTTACTGTTATGTGCCAGTATTGTTACCTCATCAACGACGCATGGATTAAGAATCCCTGGCTTCCCTCTCTCTATCTCTCTTTCTCTCTTGTCGCTTTTTTGCATATATTATCTTCCCAATTGTCTTAGCGATCCCATGACATTCCCCAGATCGGTGTCTAGATCTCTCAGGGGCACATTTGTGGTCAAATGCAGCACGCGGGTGTATAATGAATAATTTCCATGTCAAATGGTGGCAGCAGTACGGTGTTGAACTCACCTTCCGCTTGCCCTGTTACTATCCATGTATATATTACTGTGTCTGTGTCATGGATTGCAAGTATTATTCCAACATG